TCGGCAGCAAATTCGTCATCCCCAGCCATCATCGGACAACTGTTCAATATCCTTCCAGTTTTCCTGCTCTGATCAATCGACATGATATTGTTATGATTTAATTATTGTCAAGAAAATAATTGATAAAAAAAAACAACACCTTGCAACGATTACCTCGAGCACAGTGGCGCTAACAGCAGTGGTCAAAAGAACGACGGTAACGGCGTAAAGGAGCCAATAGAGGAGCACGTGCGAAAACGTCATGGCCGAGAGGTCATTTTTCCCCAGGACCACCGGCTTCGCCAAAATGTAGGCCGGACAGACCAGAGCGAGGAAAATGTTGACCGAGGCGAGGAACACCGGGTACGAGTAAAAGTCCGACAAATCGCTCGACACCTCGGCCAGCAGCGAGTACAGCTTGCGCAACTGTTCCACCCGGATTTCGCGTCGCGTCGCAGATGTTCGATCGCGCCAGTGCGACGGCTGTTTGTCGAAGAGCAACAGAGTACCGTTCAAGAATAAGATGATAATGAATCAAATGATAAGAAAGAATAATGGCATAAGCTTCTGGATTGTTTAATGGTCAAGATTAATAACTAATAAACTTCTTTGATTACTAAAGGCTGATTAAGTTATTTTATTATATTATCAATAATATTATACTCATAGAAAATGTTAGTTACCTAAATATAGACCCAAAAAAATTAGTTGAACGTTATCAGGTGTCTCAATATGTATTTTAGTCTACTATCAGGCGTTTTCTTAGTGGGAAATACTAAATTAAACATAAGATTTCGAAGCTCTCATAGTGCTTGAAAACTATATTTTTTTAGTTACCGTGGTTTAAATGGTACAATAAAATTGAACAAATAAATCGTCATTTTCTTACTGACACTCTTATGCATCGACCATGTTGTCGCTGGAAACTATGGCTCAATTAGATACATTAGCTGTCGAAAATTTCCGCGAGTATTTACGTATTCCATCAGTTCATCCTAATATTAATTATGGTAAGCTAATACAAATAATAAATTTTGACTGATTAAAAAAAATTAATGATATCAGTTGTAACACAGATATTTAGACTTTATCTTCAATATTGAATGACCAAGGTATTTCTACAACAATTTAAAAATTTTGCACTTAAAAAATATAACACAATATTCACTTAATTTTAATAGTTTTGGAAACACGCAAATAGTTATGAAATAAATTTTATTTTGCAAAAATATTATCAACAAATCTCACCTAAAACTTTTTTGATGTACGAGGTGTAGCTTTACTTGCATACATTGATATCGTTACTTTTTTCCATCGGTTTTTTTTTTTTTTTGATGCACTATGCTGACACGAGCCCTAATCATAATAATTACATTTTTTACGAAACCATGATATACATATTTTGTTATCAAATATTTGTCATGGTCTACTTTTATAAACTTTTTTTAAGAAATGATTAAGTACAAGAACTAATTATTCATTCTTTTTAAGATAAGCTTAGCGTACAGCCGCTAACAATTGTTTTATTTATTGTTATGGCACCCAGTTAAACATTTTGTCGATTATGATGTTTAACTGTGTAAAATAACACGTACTTCTTTAAATTCTTTTCCTCTCACAATATGCAGTCACGAGTAATTGTTTGCCCTTGGTTTATTATTGTAATAGGCCCTCTCGTAACAAAATTTCTGCTTATCGTGCAAGATATACTACAAAATAATTTTCAAAATGCCCTACATGACATCTTTTAGCATATCATATAAGATTTTTTGCACGATTGCCCACATGATATCTTACACGAGACATTGAAGATTTTCAGCAACCAAAAAACAAAAACGCATATAGTGTAACCCTTGAATTAAAAAATTGTTTTTTTCATAAAAAGTATGAGAATAGCTAATTTAAACGTAGTTGCAACGAAACTTTACATGTAATTTTTATCATGAAAGAATAATAATCTATAAACATAACAATCTAAGTAATACAACATAGTTGCAGATTACTTTTTCTTTTTCGATACTTAAATGTGGAAGTACCAGACGAAAAAAAATTAACACCGCCTCTGGTTTGAAACTGATCTATAACCTTCCGTTACATGAGCAGTCACGTATCGATTTCTGAAGAGTATAGAATACATCTCTTTATGCATAGAAGGTCTTAGTTAGGTATACGAAAACCTGAACGTCTCACATAGTAACTCGTTGCGTGTGTAACTCAACTCACCACAGGTGACATATCAAAAAGTACAGGTGGTGTAAACAACGATTGTGTAAGCAAAAAGAAATGAAATTTACAATAGATTTAAGGTATGCATGAGTAGTATGGCGACTAATTTTTGTTTTTTTGTATACAATATCCATACACAAACGTTATGTTATTAAAGAAGTTGCAAAAATCAAAGCACGTAACCTAAAAACGCGTATCCTATTATTTATCAGTACCTGATCTGACAAAAACAGCTTAAAACTTTTTTTAAGTATAAACAATATTCATAAAAATAATATAATGTATGCAATTTGAGATAAAGATGACTTTTGTCATAGTGGTTTTTGTTCCTAATTGCTTAATTGGTGCAAACACATTTTTTTTAGTTGTTTGTATGCTGGAAAATACTTTTTTTGTGTTTAACAGGAAAAATCATTTTCTTGTGATTTATATTCAGCCCATTTGTCGACACAATAATTTCGGAGGTTAGTACATATATAACTCATGTTTGTATAGTATATGCTATTGACAAAGTATTGAAATCATATTTATATTTAATATGTTTCAGGAAAAAACTTTGAATAGCAATGAAGAAAAGCGATAGAAAAAAATGTACCATGACTGTTCAAGAATGATTCCATAAAAATGCAACTCATAGAGAAATAACATTATTACTAAAAGAGAAACACGGCATGAAAATATCCCTGTGCACTGTGAAAATAATAGTTTCTTCATTGATCAAAACGTAAGAAAATCACCAAGAGTGATCTTGAGAGTATAGGTATTTTTATTTATGAAGAAATAAATGCTAATGGTTGTTATTTAGTATATTGGGGCCTTTGGTCAAAATAAAAAATGAAATATGGATTTACAGTGAAACGAGACATAGTGTATGGATTGCCACAGTTAATCGATCTAGAATGAATTAAAGTCAGAGCTGGTCATGGGATCTGTAGAACCGCAAACTTTATTATAAACTTAGTCTTGATGCACACATGTTTGCCAACCGTGATTCGATCAGATAAGGGTACAGTGAATGCACTCATTGAATCTCTGCAAATATGTCTACGTGAAAGCCATAATGACAAATTATCTGGAGAAAATAGTTACACAAAAGGTCGTAGTGTGCATTACCAATTGTTGCATGGCTGTTAGATTAGACTGTTTGCAAGGCTGATAGATTCTGCCAGTTCGGGGCATATGTACAATGAAGCAAGATTTTTTTTAAACTTAAGCCTGTACAAAAGGGGAGTATCTCAGTCTACAATAGTAATAAACTCCGTGTACTTTGAATCGGACAAGTCAATATATCGATCAAAAGGGACAACAAGTTAAATAGACTCACACTCAATAATGTTTTGTACGTTCCAGGGGCAACAACAAACTTAATATCGGTCAGCGATCTAGCTCAAGAAGGTCACGAGTCGAAGTTTATCACCAATAAGTGTTACGTTAGCGATAAACAGAAACAACTATTATTTTCGGGCACGCAGTTAAATAATTGCTTATACAAGCTTAACGTAACCAAGCCGCTCATGTGTCCATAGCAGTTGGCTCCTAAACAAACAAGTTGTATAGCTGAAAATCAGGGGCTCTGGCACAAAAGGCTGGGATACATAAATAAGGATTACATGGATATACTCAACAATGATGAAAGCAGCGGTGTCAACTATAAATCACAAGTAAGCTTGACGATTGTAAGGGCTACATTCAAGGTAAAATGGTAAAAAAACCTTTCCCACCAAATGAAAAGAGAGCATTACAGAAGCTCGAGCTCGTTCATACTGATGGGTGTCAGGTATTTAACTTCTCCTTAGGTGGGGCAAAGTACCTTATAACATTCTTAGATGATCATAGTAGATATACTTTTGTTTCCTTTTTGAAGTCAAAATCAGAAGTACCTAAGACTACTAAATACTTCATCAAATTCGAGAAATGGCAAAATGTATGTTAGCCGATAGCAACTTGGATAAAAAATTTTGGGCTGAGGCAGTAGCAATTTCTGCCTACTTATATAAACGCTCACCAAAAAACATTCTAGATAGTAAGACTCCTTGTGAACTATGGACAGGATTGAAACCAAACCTAAGCCATCTACGGGTCTTTGGCTGCAAAGCACAAGTATTGCTACCAAGTCATCACAGAACCAAGATGCAAGCCAATACCACTGAATGCGTCTTTGATGGATACTCCTCCAACCAACCAGGACATAGATTGTGGAATCCCACTACAAAAAAATGCTTGTTACTCGGGATGTCAAGTTTCTGGAACCAGCTATCACAGCTATCGATAAGCAAGCCTTATTGCCACACTCAAGTGTTTTGGATTCATACTAAGATCATAATCAGTCAGAAATCCAAAATGCTGCGTCTGAAGGACCTCCTAGTGAAAATGACCTAGACAACAACCAATCCTGGGAGCCTAGGGTGACCAGAGAGGAAAAGCGTCCAAAAGATACGACGACTATGTAGTCTATACGGCAGTGTTGAAAAATGATGAGCCATCAAACTATAAATAGGCTATCACTGGACCGGAAGAAAAACAATGGGCTGAAGCTATGGTCAAGGAGATCCTGTCCATAAGTGAAAACGAGATATGGACTCTGACTAAACTGCCCGAAGACCGTAGACCTATTGAAACCAAGTGGGTCTATAAGAAAAAGATTGAAAAGGATGGTAACCCCCTTCACAAAACAAGGTTGGTCGTTAGAGGCTTCAGTCAGATACATGGATTTGATTATGATACGACTTACTCACTAGTTGCTCGATTCACCACAGTGAGATTACTTCTGGCATTTGCCGCTAAACACAAACTAATCAATAACCATTTTGACATTGAGTCAGCGTTTTTACATAGAGAAATCCAAGAGCACATTTATCTTGTGCAGCCAGAGGGATTTGAGGACACTTAAAATCCACATAAATTCTGCAAGCTACACAAGGCCCTTTATGGCCTCAAACAGGGTAGCAGAGTCTGAAGCCTACGACTACAAAAATTGTTTATTGAAATGCACCTCCAACAAGTTTCATGATGCATGTGTTTTTTGGAATTCATGTGACAGTAAAGTTATTATTGTCACATCTTTGTAGATGCCAAATAAGTTGTTACTGACGAACCTAAGTATTTAAAAATACTAAGTCAAGAACCCAAAATTTTCCAACCAAAGACTTGGGACAAGTCTCTCGATTCCTTGGTATTGACATTAAGATTGATTACCAAGATGGCAGGATTAGCCTAAGCCAAGCACCCTATGTCAACACAATCTTAAAGAGATTCAACATGGATGACTGCATACCTTACTGGTTGCCCCTACCATTAGGTTTAGAAATTACCACTCGGAAGAAGAGAAAAGAAAATCAATCAAGTGACGAACTGAGTGGTTTTCCGTATCAAAGTGTGGTTGGATGGTTACTGTACCTGAGCTTGTTTACCAGACCAGATCTTACATATGCTGTTAGTCTTGTCATCGGGTTTAACAACTGCTTTACCAGGCAGCATTCGAATATTGTCAAAAACATATTAAAATACCTGCGTGCAACTTCAGACAAGGGTCTAGTGTATGACAGACAAGCGAACCAACCGCTCGTGGGGTTTTGTGATACCAGCTGGGCATCAAACCTTGATAATTCACGTTTAACTACTGGATACGTATTCATGTACCAAGGAGCTGCAGTAAGCTAATCATTGAAACAACAATCAACTATTGTCATTTCGAGTACCAAAACAGAATACCTGTCTTTATCATCGGCTACGCAGGAAGCCTTGTGGTTTCAAAATTTGGCCGAGGAGATATGTATTCACCCCA